TGTTATCGATTCATTGTCAAGGGCAGTAAGGGTGGTATATTTGGGGAGGATATGTTACATTTTTGCAAAGAACCAAGGGAATTTAAGGACATTAATCCCCTTTGGTAGTCTCCTTGACTGTGTCTTCTCCAGACTCAGGTTCAAAGGGGCAGACAGGCTCCTCCTGAGAGGTACAAATGAGCTTCCAAGTCCTCTTGAGTGAAAACTTGGGGTTGGTGTGAAACCCCAATGTGGGTGGCAGGCGATGGGAGCGGAGGGACCCAGGTTTGCAGGAGAACCTCCCTTTGCAGAGGACATCCCATGTGGTTAATGCCCACGCAGCCTCTACATTCCCAGCTGTGAAATGGTCTGGCGAGGTCTCCTCCAGCCTTAGCAGGAGTCGGGACATTCGTGACCATCTTCCAGGGTAGAGGAGCTCACGAGGAGCCCTCAGACACCTCTAAAACTGCACTGAGGAGACTCCATCCTCCCCTGAGGAGCACTCTAAGGTGCTTTCCATGCAGTTGTTCCTAGCATTATTTTGGCTTGCAGCGCTTTGATTGTAAGAAATACAAATAACCCATCAAACGACAAGTTAGCAGAGCTAACCCAAGCCAGACGCTAAAGGAAAAAAAAAAACCCCTCCAAATCTGTAAACTATTTGGAATAATTGGTTATTTGCTGTGTTTGCTAGTTCCAAATCAGAGCACATATTTTACGGCTGATCCTGTTACCGTTAGCTGGAAGAGCTCTTGGTGTTGGATGTCTCCTGCTGTCGGTGGTTGCCAACCGCTCTCGCTCGCTGGCACGTTCCTGTCCTTGGTTTTTAATAGTAGGGTTGGGTGCGTGTTTGGGGGTGACCCATGGCACTGCTGGGGTGATGGTGGAAGCCCTCCCAGGCCAATCTGCGTGGCACACCTCATTTTTACTGGTCACGGTTGTGGGAAAAGCATCCCCAAATATAAACCATGGGATAGAGGAATAGTGGCAAGGAGGGGTGTGGGAAGCTGCCTTTGGGTGGACGTGGGTAAATGTAGGCTGGTTGAACAGGATGGGGGGAAAAAACCCAATTAAAACAAAGAGTTTTGTCCACTTCTGAGCAAAATTAACAGTATTTAACAGAATTAACAGGGGAAAAAAAGGTGAGACAGCCAGAAATGGATGATTTACTGAACATCTGGCAGTTCACACCGTGAGGGTTAAGGGAAGGATGAGCCAAGTCCTCTTGCAGCCTCCCTGTGTGGATGTGGTGGTTTTCTCCTCTCTCCAACCTTGCTTTCTGCATGGGGCTGCTCAGAGCCAGGTTCTGGGTGAGGCTGAAGGAACCAGGTGAAGGGATCAGGTTAACCCAAGGATGACCCAAACCCACGTCCCTCTTGGGGAACAGGTTGGGGTTTGAGGACACGAGGATGTGGTTAGCATGGAAAGGTCTTCCTCCATCTGGTCAGGCAGGTGTGAGGTCCCAAGCCCAGTTAGTGACACCTCCACCCTGGTGTCTTTGGCTTCTTATGAGGAGATTTAGGAGATTTTTATCTGATTTTTCTGGCCTCCCAGGCACTTCTGCAATTGCTCCTGGTCTGCACCCATAGGTGATGGAGCCCATTGGGCAGCAGAGGCTGACGTGGCCCCTGGGGTGGGGATAGCTGGTGCCTTGCTTGGGTGGTGGGCGCCTTGCTTGGGTGGTGGGCGCCTTGCTTGGGTGGTGGGTGCCTTCCTTGAGTGGTGGGCACCTTCCTTGGGTGGTGGGCGCCTGGTGGGCTTCGTTGTAGTGGTTTCACTGCAGACCCTCCCCAGCTGAGTCGCTGGGTTTCCTGCTGGGGTGCGTTGACCTGTGGAGCAGCACTAGGCAGAGCAGCTGAGGGATTTAGGATGTGGTCAGAAAACCCCGAGCAGTGCCGACTGCAGCGTTCAGAGACATTTTTGTGCTCCCTGGCTGCTTGTCGTGGCCTCTCGCTGAGGTTTTCTGCGCCAGCGGGAGGACAGGGCTGGGCTGGGTTAGTTTGGTCGGGTCAGGAGCTGAGCTGAGCAGATGAGGATGCTGAGATGCCGAGATGCTGAGATGCTGGGTGTCATCTCCTGTAAAAATGTGCTCACAAACAGCTGGGGAGCTGCACCATAAACGTCCAAGCTGTTCCTAGCAGCATCTCCTCACCCCAGCTGCAGAGCTTGCTCACAGCAGGAAATCTGCCTCCCAGATGTGAGGTGCGAGTACGTTTGAGACCGAGTGGCTCAGCTTCTTTGAAGGCAGTAATTATTATTGCTGTAATTACCTATATTGGCACAGGGATGAGTGTGTAATCATGGGGAAGTGTTAAGGCTTCAGTGGTCTCATGCTTGCTCTGCTCTTGGCTTTGCTGGCCGTTAACCTGTTTGTGCCTCAGTTTCCCCCGCCTGCAAGGTGATGATGATGAGGACCAAGTTTCATCCAGGTGCAGGGCAATTTCTCAGGTTTCCAACTTTCGCTCCAGACTGAAATGATAATTTTAATGTATTTTATGACTATTTCAATGTATTTTGTGAAAATGGGATTGTACTGGACAAGCCCAAAGTCCTGCTATCCCCATCTGGGAACACATCCCATGGGATGGATGAGCTTAGAGTCACGGGAAACCCTGTGTGGTGGGGAAAATAAAGAAATAAAATAAATAATAATAAGTAAATAATAATAATTAAATAAAATCACTTTGGCTCAGCATCCCTGATAAAAATGGAGTTAAACCTGGTGCATTCGCCCCTGGGTGAAATAAATTGAGATTGAAAGCACCCCAAGAGCTGCCAGGGTAACACAGGCCTGAATTTTGGGGTCCAGGGGAGGGAAAAATTTCAATACAGCAGTGTGCATAGCCTGTTTTAAAGGCATTTTTTAAAAAAAGCATCTGAATTTCTTTATTTTCGGAAGCACCACCAGACATTCCTCTATGCCGGGATGCCCCCCTCGAGGGGGTCTCCTGGTGCTCCTTTCCTGGATGCTCATGGAGCTGCTGGAAAATGGATGAAATGGTCCCATTTTGGCCCTTGCCGGGTGAAATGGTCCTGAACCCTCTTTTGCTGCTCCTGTATTGAACATTGACCTTCCCATTTTAGCAGAAAATGCCCAAACCAGGCACCCTGGGGAGTGAAATATCTCGACTTTGTGTCATTATGGCATGGGGAGGTGTTTCCAATCCTGACTCTGGTCCTAGGGAATTTGGGATGCAGGTGCCAGCCCCCATCACAGTGATCTCTGCTCTATGGGAGTGGTGCTTGTGATGGAAAAGGGGATGGGGAGACAGCAAATCTGATCACCACCACAGCAGCTTGCTGTGTCTGAGCATCCCTCCAAGCTGAAATTTAAGGCTTGATGTGAAATGCGTCCCCAAGCGATGCTCACCCATGGGCAGGTGCCCCCTTGCAGCTCCATGGGGTCCATGCTAAAGGTGGAGAGGGCATGAAGGATGCTTGGGGTCCCCCAAATGTCTGTGCCAGGGTCTCTGACCCGAGGACTCTCCTGTACCATGTCCAGAACACTTCACAGGAGGTGATTTTGGCTATCGCCCGCTTGCTAAATGAAATCCCTGGATGCAGGCGCTGTGGAGCCATCGCTCTCCCTGACTTTCCCATTTGCAAGCAAATGGATGAATACCTCCCCTATTAACATTCCAGCTGCTCCCTTCCCTCCTTTTTTCCTCCTCCTTTTTTCAACTTCTTTTTTTTTGGGTAAGATCAGTAGAAATCAGCACACCCTCTCTAACCAAAGTCTTTGTCTTGAGGCTGCAGAAGATGCCATGGGTAAGTTGTCCGGATTAGCCGAAGGGCTCGCTTTGTAACTCGGTACCTGTGGAATGTCAAAATAACGCCACAATGGGCAGAGCGTGGCTTTTCAAACAATAAAACAGGGGGAGTGATGAAAGGCGATTTTATTTTTAATTTTTTTTTCAAGAAAAAGAGAGACAGCAGAAGCCTCAGAGTTAATTTATGTAATATTCCTATTAAAAACAATGTGTCCTGTTCAAGACAGCAATTTAAAGCCTGCACCGTTGGCTTCAAATCCAAATCCAATAAACCCCTGTTATGATTCCTCCATGAGGTCAGCGTGATGGAATTTTGTGGACTTCTAAAATAAGACATCATTATTTTTCAGGAATGTTGCATGAGTCGCAGTCAAAGCCCCTTCGTCTTCGCTTGCATAAGTTTCAGAAGGGGTGCTCTTATAAAATATCTACGTTTGCTGGAGGCTTTCTTGTTGGGATGGCATCCTCGGAGCTGGGATGCAGTTTGGGTTGTGGATGAGGCAAATGCTCCTTAATGGCCTCGTGGTGGGGGGTTGCGATGTTGTGAGGCTGAGGTTGTGTGAGATTTGCCCGTTTCTCTGTATAATATCAATGAGAAGAGAGGTGCAGTGCCTGAGGACTATTTTATTTTAATGGAAGCATGTGTGTTTTATGCATTTATTTGTCCTCATTTTGGGTGGGGAGGTTGCATGGTGCCGGGACACGAAGCAGCATCCCCATCCCAGAAACCCCAAACCCATCCAGGCCAAGCCTAAATTTGGGGCTGAGTAAGAGCATCCTTCACCTTCCCTGAATTCAGGACCACTCTAGCACCATTTATCTCATCCCCTGTGTGGTCCTGCACTGAGGTCCTGGGAAGACCCCCCCCGAAATGGCCAAAATCTGCCCCTGGCCTAAAAACCACTGCGAGTTTCCTCTTATGAGCTCTACCTCCTCCTCCCATGGAGCATCCTCCTCCCTGCTGACAGGTCCAGGGTCATGGTGCTGCTGGATTTGGGCTGGAAGGACCCCAAAAGCACTTTGAGAGCAGGGTTTGAGGTGTTGCAGGCTGCGTTGATGGTGTCTCCATCACCTCTGCAGGACAGGAACCCACCAAACCCCGGCTGCACCACGGGGTTGATGCACAGAGCACAAACTCACCTCTATGGTGTGGACCTCAATTCACCCCTTAAATTATGGGCGATGCTGCTGTTGTTGCTCACTGGGGTTTGCTCACGGGGATGTGTAACTTTATCATCCCTTTGCTACCAGGAGGAAGAGTTCATCGACTGGTGGAGCAAATTCTACGCATCCACAGGAGAGAGGGAGAAATGCGGCTGCTACTTAGAGAAGGGCTTTGACACCCTGAAGGTACATGGCCTTGCTGGTTCTGGTTCATCAGACCTCCACTTTCCAAGATATTTTTCCACAAGCTTCCATTTTTTTTGAGTTTTAGGGGTTTTTTTCTTCCAGGGAAGAAAAAATAATGGGTAATTTTTTCCCGGAGAGCAGATATTTTGTTTTAAAAAGTATCTATTTAGAAAACTTGATTTTTCCTTGCAAAATCCTTTCTGGCGACCTTCCGCTTTGCAGCCTTCAAGAAATGGTCACTTTTTGACATGGCAAAGGAGATGAGGAGCTGCCACCATGGAAAGTGTTTGGGAACAAGAGGGAAACCCAACGATTGCTCAAGGAAGGGGAGCTTTAAATGCCTCCTTACAAGAAAGGCTAAAATTAACACTGGAGCCCAAATAGGACCAAAGTGGGCGAAAACTTGCCTGGTCTGAAGGCAAATGTTCCCAGCAGGAAGGTCTCTTTGGTTGATGAAAACCCTTGGCTTATTCTGGGTCTTTTGCAATGTGCTGGTATTTATTGTAGGGTTGCCCATCACAGTCCTAGGGGGCACCAAGGGTGGCAGGTCCCAGGACTCTGTCCCAGTGGGTGGCATTTCCCCCTCAGCCGAGGAGCTTGGGTCAAGGCTTGTCCCATATTGGTCCCTCCCCAGGTCTACGAGACGGAGCTGGAGAATTTGGAGGACTTTGAGCACCTCTCTGACTTCTGCCACACCTTCAAGCTGTACCGCGGCCGCTCGCAGGACTCCAACGACGACCCCTCGGTCGTGGGGGAGTTCAAGGTGCGATGGTCTCTCCTTCTGCCTGCACCCTTCCTGGCTGGGAGGCCTTGCTGCTGAGTGGGATGAAGCCAATTGACTGTTTTGGGGTAGGACTTCAGTGAGAAATGGGCCATGAAAGTAGACCACTACGTTTTTCTAGCTGTATTTTTTAATTCCTGCTTTTACCCAGCACTTTTCTCCCCAAAACAACACTCAGAGACTGATTCATAGCAAGGGTCCTTCACACCTCTTTAATAGCGTGAAGGCTTGAAGGGTGGTGAAGTAGAAGATGTAAAGGATGAACAGGATGGAGAGGCTCTGTGCAGGTTTAGGGTTTTCATTGCTGTTCAAACAAGGGATGAGTGATACAGCAGCTCATCACCCTGGTCCTGGCTCCCTGCACCATGAAGAGCCTGGCAGGACATGGTCTGGTCTAGTAGATAGAAGAGGGGCAGGATCTGGGCTCTGTCTCCAGCACTGTGGTAGTTGTAGATGCCCCATCCTTGGAAACATCCAAGGTCAGGTTGGACAGGATTCTGAGCATCCTGGTCTGGTTGAAGATGTCCCTGCCCATGGCGTTGGACTGGATGAGCTCTAAAGGTCCCTGCCAACCCAGATCATTCACAGAATCACAGAATGTGAGGAGTTGGAAGGGCCCTGGAAAGCTCCCCCAGTCCAACCCCCCCAGAGCAGGATCACCAGAGCAGTCACACAGGAACACGGCCAGGCCTTTGGGTGTCTCCAGACAAGGAGACTCCACAACCTCTCTGGGCAGCCTGGGCCATGCTCCAGAACCCTCACACTCACAAACTTTGGCCTCATCTTCATCTTGAACCTCCTGTGCTCCAGCTTGGGACCATTGCCCCTTGTCCTGGCATTGGCCATCCCACGCCAGAGCCTGGCTCCTTCCCCCTGACACTGCCCTTTCCCAATGGATCCCCAGGAATGAGGGCACCCCTCAGGCTCCTCTGCTCCAAGCTCCAGAGCCCCAGCTCCCTCAGCCGCTCCTCAGCAGGAGATGCTCCACTCCCTCCAGCATCTTTGTGACTCAGCTGGACTCCTTCACGCAGTTCCTGTCCTTCTTGATCAGTGCAACCATGAACCTGTCCTTTGCAGGGCTCATTCAAAATTTACCCTCTCCCGGATGACCCGCGAGTGCCGGTGCCACCGCGGCAGTTCCACCAGCTGCCTGCCAGGGGACCCCAGGAGTGTCTGGTGAGGGTCTACATCGTCCGGGCCTTCGGCCTCCAGCCCAAGGACGCCAACGGAAAGGTGAGAAAAGCTGGTGGACATCAGTGCTGTTGGCTTTTGGGATGGGCTCCTCCAGCACATCAGCCCTAATTGGTCAAAATTTGGGTCTATGGCTTAAAATTTAGGAGCAGTGGCAAGAAAAAGGTGAAAATCTACCCCTTCTTTCTGCCTGCATTGCAACAGCTGGGAATCCCAGGAGTCTTCCTCTATCCCAAGGGGTTTTTCAGTAGGGCTTGTTAAAATAGCTAAATGAGTTAGGGTTTTCTTGCACCTTGATGCCAAAGGAAACAAAATTATGCTTTCCCCTTGATTGCTTTTTGCAAAGCTTTTGCCAATCTGGAAGAAAAATTCAGTGCAAACAAGAAAATTACGTTGGTTTAAAAAAAAATGTTAATTTTGTTGCACTTTGCAAAAAAATTCAGGGGGAAAAAAAAATCCTTCTTAAGTCTTTGTTCCACTGGAAAATAGGGAAAAGGCAAAGGAAAAGGATAGGAGATATTTTGACACGAACCAAACAAAACTGCTTTTTAATCTGCCTGGTTTTTGGAAGTGGACTTGGAATGAAAGTCTTAAATTCCTTAGAAAGCTCCGCAGGTACTGGGCTCAGCCTGGGTGACATCTTTTAGATGAAGCTGTATTTTTTGACTTCCCTTGGCAAAAATGCTGACTCGGGTTAATTCAACCACTTTTCAAATTCATGCTGGTTTCCCGGAATAATTTTACTTGTGAGAGAGAAGCTGAAAAAGTCAAAATATCTGGTACAATTTTCAGATGCACGATGAGGATTTGTGTTAAAATAGGCTTCCATGTTTTCTTTTTTGAAGCTATTGAAGCATCTTGGAAATTAAAGGTTTTGAGCCACATTTTTTGGCCACAAAATGCTTTTCCTTCGACATTTTAGTCCCCTATGTTGGTAAATCTGGTTTTGAGTAGACTTGAAACTTGATGATGATCTCAATGAAACTCCGAAATAGGTGACTCAAATGATGATGGGAACATCCTGGGGATTTCAAAACAAGCCTGGTCCATTGAGGAAGCCATAAATAGGGTGTTTTCATGCTCTTTCATTGCTTTTCCATCCCATTGGGCTCAGAAGGGCTCGGGCTCTGCTCCCACGCTGCTGACCGGTCCTTTGGTCACCCAAAAAAAGGCACCGCAGTGCGGGTGGCTCTTGCTGATTGTCACAGTTCTGTGGTAAGGAGTTAATGGTCAGTCTTGCCCTGTCCTTGAAAATAGGTGTTTGTCAAGGGTGGTGGATGATCCTGCTTGCTGGGCCAAGGGGAGGCAGAGCTGTACCTTCACCATCAACATTGCTGTGCAATGACTCTTTCTTATGTTTATTTATTTTCATGCCCGTCTTCAGTGCGATCCCTACGTGAAGATTTCAGTGGGGAAGAAATCTGTCAATGACCAAGAAAATTACCTCCCCTGTACGCTGGAGCCTGTCTTTGGGAAGTAAGTTTTGGTTCGGTTTGGAGGCCGTGTGGGTTTTTAATGTCGTATTGAGGGAATAGGGACGGGTCAGCCAGAGCTCCCCATTCCAACCTACGTTTAGGGTCGGGTTGGGCAGGGCTGATGTAGTGGGAGATGTCCCTGCTCATGGCAGTGGGATGGACCCATTGATCATTAAAGGTCCCTTCCAACCCAAACCATTCTGTAATTCCCACTATGAGCTCTCAGCTCATGTCCAACCTTGCTGAAGTAATTCTGGCCTTGGCTTTGACCACTGTCCTACCCACCATGGCTCATGGTCATCTTCTCCTTGGGACTGCAGAGCATGGACTGGGTCTGCTCTGTCAACAACAGAGACATCAGGAGGGTTTTGAAGATCTGAGTGATGGTACAGAGAGTCTGGGGAAGCTCTGCTCCTCATTTAGGCACTTTGGTTAAAAGTCTGAAGAAAAGCCGTGATGAATGGCAGATGTGGGATGTCTCACTTCAGACACCCTGAAAATGATCTCTCAACATTCTCTGGGCTGGCTGAGTTGTTTGCCTTGCAATAGGGGCACAAATTTCTGATAAAAGGCAAAAGAGAGTGCTATCAGAAAAGCGTGTTCATCAGAGCCACAAGTACCAGGGACACCAGGCAGAGCAAGACCTGATGCTCAGCCTCCACGTCCTGAGGGGACTTTGGTCTCCCAGAAAAGCTGGGATCAGCCGTAGGGGGTTGTGCTTCAGCACAAACAGGGGTCAAGCCCTGCTCCATGTGACATCCAGTGGTTTTCTTAGGTGGTTGTCAGCAGCCCAGGCTGTCAATGCTGTGACACCTTCCCAGCAAGGCACGATGAGGAGGGAGATGGTTGGACTCGGTGATCTTGAAGGTCTTTTCCAACCAAAACCATTCTATGAGAAGCACCATCTGCAGGGATGGAGGGATGGGGAGGGTGATACAGGTGAGACCTCAGAGGACGGTGTGCATTAGAAGTTTCCTCCTCTCCTGCCAAACAGAGGTGGCAGCTCTGCCTTTCCTGCAGTGAACACAAAGTGCTTGCTCCCCATCGAGCACGAGGGAGCCCCGATCTCTGCTGGGCCAGGACCTGCTGCCCTGTCAAGACCCCACAACCCATCCCACGGTCCCTGGGGAGGCAGAACCTCCTTCACTAAGCCTGGCCCCTGACCAGAGGCCGTCTAGACAGCGCATTGCACCTCCCGCCCGCTCTTTAAAGCGAGATGTAAAACCGCGGTCCTGGCTGCTGGCGGCTCTTAAACCTCCCGTTTCATCCGCCTTGCCCCGGGCGGCTGGCTGCCGGCCAGCTCCAGCTAATTGCTTTCTGCTGACCCCAGTTCCTCCTGCACTCTTAATTGGTGGCATAATCGCTCACTTCCCTTCCTTAAAAGCTGCTGCGGGGTGGGAATGGGTGTTGTGTTTCTCCCCAGCATCGCCTGCCTTTCGGCAGCAGGTGGAGGAGTTCTTGGTAGCGCTGGGTCAGTTCTGGACCGTCCTGCTCAGCCCGTTGTACCACCACGTTGCCAGCATCCATGGGCACCGGCTTGGTCTGGACCGGGGTGATGTGTTTTGGTGGGGTGTTGTGTTTTGGTGGGGTCTTGGTGGTTTGCCCCTTGCCATCCTTTATTTGAAGAGGGAGAGGAAGGTTTGCTCTTGCTTTATGTAGTGTCATAGCTGTGGTGTAGTTATAGACAGCACAGGAGGGCGGTACTTTGAACCAGGAGGAGACCAGAAAGCTTTGTGGGGTTGATCTCACGCTGACCACAGGCTTGGCCCAGGCAGACTTGACTCCTGTTTTGGACATTTGCTCTTTGGGCTCAAAACCCAGACGTTTTTCCAAAGCTGTCATTTCTCCCCATTTCAAATTCCATGGTGATGATGATTCCTGACTCTCACCTGCTGCTCTTTTCCCCTGGATCTTGCAGTGACCACCGTCAAGTCCAATTACAGATGGAGAAACTAAGCAAGGGCAAAGTTTGCTTGTGGATCGTTCAACCAGGCAAAAATAAACCCAAAGCTTGCTTGCTTAGAGCATATCCACAAGCTAAACCAGTGCAACACAGCACCAGTAGTTCTGGACCAACACAGCAAAGATGTGCAGTGGGTGTACGGTCCTTCCTGGCACTGGTGGGTTGTGATGGAGCACCCAGCATCTTGAACCTCCGTCCCATGGGGATTTCTTGGCCATCTCATGGGCATTTCTCATCTCCTGTTGCGCAGGATGTTCGAGCTGAGCTGCACTCTGCCCATGGAGAAGGACCTGAAGATCACACTCTACGACTACGACCTCCTGTCGAAGGATGAGAAGATTGGGGAGACCGTCATAGACCTGGAGAACCGCTTCCTGTCCAAATACGGGGCACGCTGTGGCCTCCCCCAAACCTACTGCGTGTGGGTACCTCTGTGGGCTCAGGCGTGGTTCTCCATTGCTGCTGGGGCTGTGTGGTGCTGAGCTGGACGTGGGGACCAGGGTGATGCCTCAGCCCATGGATTTGCTGGCCTGGGGCTGTCCCAGGGGGACCTGATTGGAGCAGCCTCAATTTGGGGAACTTCTCTGAGCCTTGGCTCTCCTCCAGCAGTGTGAAATGCTTCAAATACCAGAAATCTCCCTGGGGAGGTCCTGTTACAACCCTGATGCCTCTTGGGCACACCATGGTGTGGACAGCCCCCATGGCCAGGGCCAGCTGAAGGGTGGTGTGGTGGGTCTTGGGGACTATCAGGTTACCCCAGCCCCTCAGCCCAGCCCTCTTTGCTGTAATGCTGCTGTGCTGTTAAGGCTGGAAGATGTTTTATCACACATTGAGCTGCTGTTTTCCATCCTGTTTGGTTTCAGCTCCGGCCCCAACCAGTGGCGAGACCAACTCCGTCCTTCCCAACTGCTTCACCTCTTCTCCCTGCAGCACAACTACAAGGCTCCCATCTACAAGGCTGACCGGGTCATCTTCAGGGAGCACGAGTACATCCTCTCTGAGCTGGGTAAGGTAACAGGGTTACAAATAGCTTTCCTTTGTCCAGAGCAAGGGATGGAGTTGGAGGTCGTGGATGTATCATGGTGGGGGATTATTGTGGAGGCCACGAGTGGGTGATGGGCACAGCCCCATCCTCCTCACCTTGCTGCCCAGCTTGGCTCTGCCCCATTGTAGTTGGACCTGCACCACACCCTGGGGTTGAACCCCCCCCCACCGTGTTAACCTTGGCCTTGAGCATCTGCCCATTACTGCTTCCAGCAAACCAAATACCCGTGAGCTGGGAGCAGCAAAGCCCATTGCAGGCAGAGAGGCCCCAGCCTGGTCTTGCAGCTCCTGCTCGGGCTGGAAATGCTAAATGCTGATGGTTGTGCCGTTCGCATCTCTGCGTTTTGGGGCTGGAGGCACTAGAGGGAGACAGGATCATACACATGGTGCCCAGTGTCCCACCACGCCTGGGGGTGAGGTATCACCCAGTGTCGGGGAGGTATTTTCCTGTTTGCATGTGAAAACCATCAACGCTGACACCTGTAATATTCTAGGTACCAACAAGGACTGGCATCCTTGGGGGCTAAAGTTTGCCTTATAAACTCTGCTTTAAGTCATGGACCTGGTGTTTTGGTGCAGGGAGGAGGTTGAACCCCACTGTAGGAGCTGCAGTTGGACTTCATTGAGGCCACTGCAGTTTTGCAGAGCCATCAAGGAGCATTGGGCTGCAGAGGCACCAGGTAGCACAGCCCAGGGCTGATCCCTCTCCCTGCCCTTGGGAATCGAGGCACGAATTCGTGGTTCTCCCCTGAGGAGGAGGAGTGGGAAAGCAGCGGCTCCTCTGCAGCCTATCATTACGCGAAAGATTTCCAGCAAGGGCTGGAAAGGTGTTAAACCGAGCGGGGTCTTCCCCCCTCTCCCAGCCCCTGCCTTTCACCTTCCTCTGCTTTAATGGCAATCAGTTCAAAAACCAGAACAAAGTCTGATGCTTGACCTCGAGGAGATCTGGAAACCAGCTGTGTGCGCAGAGCGATGTCAGATCTGAACCTGGCAGTATAAAGTGAAGCTATTAAACACGAGAGCATGGCTTTTACAAGCATTGCACCCGGACCATTATTCCATAACCCCCACATTTGTTGTTTTCTGAGAGGGCCTTTTTCTTTTTCCTGTGCATACACACACACACACACACACATATACACACACGCACGCACACACACCAGGTTTCCACTGCTTGGGAAATAGCCCATATGTCTGAAGTTAACCACTTCAAGATATTGCCAAGGAAGGAGCTGGGATATATCACCTGAAAGTTGCAGAGCTGTAATAATATTTATGGAGCGCGTTTCATTTCAAAGGTCCTCGAAGGTGCACGGCCTTGAAATGCGGTGGCTGCAAGGCAGCGTCTGGGGGGTGATGTCCTCCACCAGCCCCAGCTTGGGATGTGGGATGGGGAGGCCGGAGCAGCCTCAGGCTGCCCAGCATCCATACCTGGGTGTAACAACCCGAATACTGGGGCAGAGAAGTCAAAAATGCCCATTATTGAGAGGTCCAAACTGTTTGCAGGGGGATGGGGGTCTGGTATGGAGCGGGTTGAGGAGGTGGAGGTGGCTTTGGGTCTGCCCATGGTGTTTGCTGGCTGCTGTGCACGAGCCCCTTTTCCTGAAAGGCCACAAAAACCCCAATGGGATCAGCCATTGCTGTGCTGGTGGTGCCTGCGTGGCCGTCCTTTCCCTCTCACTTCTTATTTCACCCCAAAGCCAGCAGAGGTGAAGCAGGACAGCAGCAGAGCACTCCTCTCTGCCCAGCTGAAGACCCTGGGTGGTTTTAAAAGAGGGGATTTAAACGATGTCCATCACACGAGTGCTTGCAAACGGCACCAGAGCAGACCCTTTCGTCTCCTGTCCCTGAAGAGCTTTGCTAACTCATTCGATAAACCCCTGCTGGGGACCCTGCAGCCCCAACTGCTCTGGTTTTAGGGATCTTGAACCCTTGAGCAGCATCAAAGTCTGGACTCACCTTTCCGTGTGCTGGAGCTGGTCCTTGTGCTATTTCACTTGCTGTGATTTGGAGGGGGGATGTACATGGGGGTCCCTGCAGGTCCCTGCCCCATCGCATGGTGGTTTCCACTGGGAACGGGTTCTCCTTGTGATGGTGGTGATGGGATTGCAAACAAAGGCTGTGGCGTGGTGTAATGCTTCTCTTTGCTCTGTGCAGAGGATGGGAAACCCCTCAACCCCCACCTGGGGCCGGTGGAGGAGCGGCTCGCCCTGTACGCCCTGCGGAGGCAAGGGCTGGTGCCGGAGCACGTGGAGACCAGAGCCCTTTACAGCCCTCTCCAGCCAGACATCGAGCAGGTGGGTGGTGAGACGCGCTTTTGGGACCAGGGGATGCCCTTGGGACAAGGGGATGCTTTTTGGACAAGGGGCTGCTTTTGGGACAAGATTATGCTCTTCAGACAAGACCGAGAGTGTCATCTCCTTTTAATCCAATGCCAACCAGATGGCTGGCTCGCTGTGGAGCCATGCTTGGGATCCCTGCCCCAGGAGATGGTTATTTTCTGCCCCAGGAGATGGGTTTGTCCCAGTGGCCATGGTGGGGTTGGGTTGACGTTGGACTTGGTGATCTCAGAGGTCTCTTCCAACCTCAGCGACGGTGATTCGATGATTCTTGTTCGAGTGGTGGGACCACCCAGAGAAGCTGTGGGTGCCCCCTCCCTGGCAGTGCCCAAGGCCAGGTTGGCTGGGGCTTGGAGCAGCCTGGGCTGGTGGAGGTGTCCCTGCCCATGGGGGTTGGGCTGGGGGAGACTTTGGGGTCCCTTCCAACCCAAACCATTTGTAATTCAATGATTCTAACCCAGAGCATCCCTAGGGGTGATGCTGGGTGCAGGGTGATGCTATGTGACTCTGGCAGTTCCCAAAAGCTGGCTCTGACCGCCCCAGACCAGGCTTTATTGGGCTGTTTGTAGGGAGCTGAAACTCAGGTTGGACTTTTAACATTTTCTGCTGAAATGCAGAGTTTTCTTGCCAAAAAGCAAGCAAGCCACAAACCCCTCTGTGATGGGCTGATTGTCAAAGGATGGCGTTTTTTGTTTTCCTTTCAACCCTTGAGACTGCACAATAAAAGATTTTATTGGCGCCCATTGGTGTTTTACAGTAAAAGAGACCACCTCAAAATCACCCACCCTGTGATCTCAGCTGCCTTTCTGCTCAGAAACCCATACACCAGACGTCCAACTGGTGATGACTGGTGGCACCATGGAAAACAAGGGAGCTGCTTGCATCTCCAACACCTCCCTGGTCTTCAGTCTGTCCCTGTGTAAAGACAGTCATGGACAGTAAAGCCAGAGTGCACCTTCAGCTTCCCCAGACCACACTCTCATACATCAATGGCCATTAATATATACTCAACTATCACTAAGATAATTCTAATATAATATTTAATGACACATTACCATTAAGAAACCTTAGTTTTCAGCTAAATAACACCATAGCACTTGGTACTTTGTGTCTCCACCGCTGAGGAGGTGAAGGTAACGCAGTCAGGAGGCTCACCAGGCTTCACGTGTCATTCTTTCCATGCAGGGAAAGCTGCAGATGTGGGTGGACCTGTTTCCAAAATCTCTGGGCCCGCCCGGCCCCCCCTTCAACATCACGCCACGCAAAGCCAAGAGGTGACTTTTCTCATTTCTTACTTGGTGTGGTGCTGGTTCTGGCACCTTCTGTGTGCGAGGAGAGAGGAGAGGGGATGGGGCTGAGGGAGGGATCCACCTGCCCAGCTGAGGAACGTCTATGGGGATGGGAACATCTCTGAGGCTCCTCTTCATGAGAAGACAACTCACATCTTGGCTCCTTCAGCTAAATATCTACGTAGCATGGCCGGGCTGTCCAGGTGGGCTCTAGACAGTGATTTTCACCTTTTCATGTTGCTTTTGTTGCTGGGGCCATCCAGGTTCTTCTTGCGCTGCATCATCTGGAACACCAAGGACGTCATCCTCGACGACCTCAGCATCACTGGGGAGAAGATGAGTGACATCTACGTCAAAGGGTAAGCCACCCCGCTTCTATGTCCACATCTACCATCACCCGAAGACAAGTGAGCAGCAGTCAAGGGGTTAACACGTCCCTTGAGTCAATATTGGGTGGCAAACATGGACCCTGGCTGGGATGAAGGGGCCATTCGCACCTTCCCAGCTATGGACCCAGATCCATCTCTGCTGGGCTCATAACCGCTTCACCATGTCCATGTTTTCCTTTGGATCCCTGACTTTTAGGTGCTTACATGAGAATATTTGCATTTAGAGGGATAAGATGTGGGGAAGCAGCCTCACCACTGGAGAGAGCATCACGGAGTCCGCGTTTCTACTGCCTGCTCCTTCCCAGCCCCTCACGGGCTTGTTCCCTACCCATAGGTTGCCTTGCTTGCATAGCTGCTTTTTTTGGAATTCCCTTTTTTCCCCTTGAAACACGCAAAAATGTGGCAACCAGCAGTGACTCCTCTGGCACATTCCCTTCTCTGCCTGACTCCATTTATGTTTTATCTTGTGTAAAATGGTGCAATCCCAGCCAAGGGACTTACTTATTTTGTGCGTTCTTTGGGTTTATGGACAGGAAGAGGTAGGATTTTGAAACAGACTGTAAATCCCTTTTTTACAGTCCCAATTTTCCTCCTGTAAATCCACAATGCGCGCTGCTTACCTGGTATTCGCATCAAGCGCGTTGTTATCAGCTCCAGCTAAGCTGCTCTCAGCACTTTGGGGCTGGAATCTCGGTCTCTTGGACATTATCTTCTACATAATATGTAAATTATTCCCAGTCAGGCAGGTAAAGGAAATAGGAGCTTTTCTGTTATGCCTGAGGCAGAGCTCAGTTGCCATTTATTGCATTTAATTTAATCAGTTATTAATTGCTAGTCTTGCAGGAGCATGAAGAGGTCTCAACCAAGTTTAGGTTGCGCAAGGCTGAATGCAGAGACCTTCCCTTCCCAAAGACCTGTGTGGTAGGCAGTCCAAGGAGGAGCAGTGTAGGGGAATCACATTCATTAGGAACTGAAGATGGGGTTTTGGGGGTTAACAGCCACTGCCATAGATGGGGGGATATTTTTGAGTTGTTTTCATAGTGAGATTTCCAATAAAAAGTTTTAGTTCACCAAACTTTAGTAACCAAAGTTTTAGTTTAGGATGGCCCAGCACTGAACCAGGTCCCCTAGAAAGTGGGAGGTTTTCACTCATCATCTTGCAAGGTTTCCAAGGTATTTAAAGGTAAAACCACTACTGCTTGGAGCCAATCGGACCAGAAGTTTCCAGAGTCCCTTTCCAGTCAACCACCACTACTAAGATTTATGTGCTATTATGTGGCATCTTTAAAACTCATCTGCATCCCCTTTGGGGTTCCTAAATAAAAGGATGGCCTGGGTCCTCCAAGATCTGACTCTTGTGCTGAGCAAAGAAGGAGCTGTGTGGGTTTTGAGAACAAAGTCACCTCTTAGATTTAACAACCTAACGTTGCCTTTGGGTATTGCAGATACCTCAAGCCACATGGATTAAAGAAATACAGGATGAACTAACAGGTTAAATGTCCATCCAGGCCTGTTCAGTACAAAACCATGATCTGTAGCTCAGGAAATCTCTGACTTGTGTATTATTGGAGCCTGGGGACATTGTTGGGAAGGTGTCAGGATGATGGCCCAGGTTGCCCAGAGAAGCTGTGGGTGCCCCCTCCCTGGCAGTGCCCAAAGCCAGGTTGGATGGGGCTGGGAGCAGCCTGGGCTGGTGGAGGTGTCCCTGCCCATGGGGGTTGGACTGGGGGGGCTGTGAGGTCCCTTCCAACCCAAACCATGCTGTGATTCTGTATATTTGCCCCAATCCCAAACTCTTCCCTCGACATCTGCTGTTGACCTCAGTTAGAGGCAGGATCCTGGGCAAGATGAGCCTTAGGTTGGTCACCAAGGCCATTCCCATATTATTATTTTAATTGTGGGGCTTTTGATTTCTGGCACCTCCTTCCTGCAGTGGAGAGGGTGCAGCAAACCTGCAAAAAAAAGCAAAAATGCCCCAAAAGAAGCATTGATTTGTCCTTTTGTTTGCCTGCAAGAAGAGGCCGCTCCCACTGCATCCCTCAAGAGTCCCTGCCTGGCTTTAAAGGCTGTGGATAAACACTCAGGCTTGCCTTTTGCATCCTATCGGGTCAAACCACACAATCCAGCCACAATTTAAGCATTAACACAACCTCATCACACAATTCCCACTGCCACCAAGCCCTCGCTGTCCATGGAGCACGTGTGTGTGTGTGTGTGGTGTGTACTGTAGGATGAACTTGAGTAGACCTCCCTTCCCTGTGTCCCACAACACATTTGGGGCGAGTCATGTGCTGGAGAAGAGGGAATCGTTTGTATAGCTGGGCAAAAATATCCTTGTTTTCTATTTAAGTGGAAAACAATCGAAGGAGATAATTGTTTTCATTAGGTTCCCTCTGAATCCTCTGGCTTTCCTCCAGAAGGGCTCCAAGTACACAAATGGATGCGTTTTGTTCTGTTGTTTTGTTTCGCTGATTGCCGAAGACTGAAAAATCTTGGAGAGGGAAAGGGGACAGAATGCAAACCTGACATTGCAAAGCTCACAGCTGGGAAAAAGGAGCTGTTGTGGAAAGTTTTGGGTTTGGCCCTGCAGTGGTTGCGGGCTCTTTTAGGGCAGGAGGGGAACTGCACTGCCAGGACCTGTCTCTAATGGGAGCAACTGGGGACCAGCCTGGCCACAGCAGGGTCTGGCCACTCCGGGATTTTCCTGGGAAATAGAGGGGAAAAAAACCCCATCCCTTTGGTCCTTTAGCAAGGGGCAACACCAACAGGACTGGTTTTATGGGCTAACTGCAAGGTCAGGTTGTTGAGGTGTCTGCAAAGGGGGACGATCTCTCGCCGAGGCAGGTTAGGAGCTGATGTGTGCTTATGGATGGGCGAGGGACAACTCTGAGCAAGAGCTTAAGGTGGTGTTGAGGCTTTAAAACACCCGAAAAACTCAGGGGAGGGAGGAGAAGAGATTGCAGAGCTTCTTGGGCTGCATTGGTTCATATCCCAGCACTGCAGGGACTGGTATCCACAGGGGTGAGGGATGTTTTATGGCTCATGGCCTCTGTGATGTTGACTGAACCCAAAAATCCTTGGTGCGTTTCCCGTTTTTCATGCCATGCGTTTGCATTTGGCAGCTGGCTGGTTGGCTACGAGGAGAACAAGCAGAAGACAGATGTGCACTACAGGTCCATGGGAGGAGAGGGCAACTTCAACTGGAGGTTCATCTTCCCCTTTGACTATCTCCCTGCCGAGCAGATGTGTCACATTGCAAAGAAGGTGAGCGTCCCTGGACAGACCTTTCTGGCTTCTCATAGTAACCCTGGGGTGAAGTGTGCTCCGAGACCTCACAACTGCAGCACAAATGGAGCTATGCAAGGCTGAGCCTTACCGTTGTGTTATTTGGAATACAAAGTTGTGGGCAAGTGGGGGAATTGGTTTTAAAAAAAAAATCCACATTTTGAATTCAACATTTGTGGGGGCGGAATTAGAGGTGGATTTGTGTAAAGAGCCCCAGGAAGGACTGGAGGCAGATGCGTATTGGTGCAGTGGCGTTGAAGTACTCTCCAAGTTGCATGGGATTTCCAAGATGCCTCGTTAATAATGGGTTTACCCAAAAATGGGGATAGCATTCCCATGGGGATGGTTAGGTGTGCACCTCTGGTCTCCGTCAGGGCGTGATGGGCGTCGTGCTGTGCAGTAACTTCTCACAATGGCTAAAGAGGGGTGAGAGGAAGGAGATGCCTCCAAGTGCCTGCAAGGGTGAGCAAGAGGGGCACATAGGATAACACAGGTTGGGACGCGCCATTGATGGGAAGAAAAGCTTTGGTTTGGGTTTCAGGGGAAGATGCCCTTGGTCCAATAAGAGAATTGGTTGCTCAGCTCAGAGGAGTCAGCAGTGGGTGTGATTTTGGCCCCCTCGTTCCTACAGCTGTAGTTGGCAGTGGCTTCTGGTGATCTTTGGATAAATCAGTGCGATTTGTGAACTGGGAGTTGCATGGAGGGAAGGAAGCAGGGATGGAGTTGGGGTCCATATGTGGAAAAATGCTGGTGAAAATAGGGCTGGCTCTCAAGGAATGCTTTAAGGAAGGGACATCCATTCATTTCAATGTCCTGTTCATCACCTGGAGATTAAGAGGAGAATTTTGGGGTCTGTGTGGACAGCAGGGACAACCCCTGCTTGTGAAACTCGGTCCTGTTTCATGACACCTCCCTGAAAGCTCAAATGCCTTCACCCACCCAACCCCAAATCTTCATCCCTGCTTGCCTTGCTGCTGTGAGCTCAACCTCAGTGTTTGCTGAGCATGGGGTGCCCAAAACCACCTCATTGCAGTGGGACCATCTGCATCCCACCCCGGACCCCCATCCCAGTTGGGCCCCAGCACAGCCTGGTTTGGACCTGGTGCTTCGGCAGGGAAGATGCTGAGCGAATTCCCCATCCCCGGAGCCAGACAATCCCTGCGAGGAGGCCTCGCTTCAAAATGAATCGCCGGGTCGTTAAAGCGATTGACAGGATCATAGCTGTGCCCATTTCACGCTTCATGTTAAACAAATCAAAAGTACAGTGTGTACTACATTCAATTATCCCCCTTTGAAAAAGCAAAGACCCCCCTATAAACCGTTTAGGAAAATACATCCCACTGTGCTGATATTGATTCTCCTCCGACCACATGTCTGCCAACACTGTATCAGAAAATAAACAGCTTGTAAAACCTCTCTGTAAAGGCAGAAATAATGAATGAGAAGCCATGCTTTGTATTTGCGGGACACATTCCGCTCTGGCAATTTTTGATCTCGCCATGTGCTGTTTGAACTCCGGGTTCATTACCACCGCTGTAAAAAAGCCCATGCGCCGCACTTTAAACGCCGGCGATGGAAAGTGGAATTTAAATCAAAACGCTCAGATGGCGAAGTCGGAGCTGCTCAAAGCCACCTGCGCCCGGCCCTGCTGGTGTCGGCCCTCGGAGCGAGCACGGCGGGGATGGAAAGCAGCTTTCAATTTGCTCCCCTTTGCTCCGCTGGCCTCTTCACGGGCTTGGGCTCCCTTTGGCGTGTCAGCATGAACCTCAGGAGTGGGTCATCCCAACCCAGATTGCAAATATTCACCCAAAACATCCCCCCGGGCAGAAGGGTTTTCACAGTGTTTAGGTTGGGGGATGCTGGGAGCCTGAAACTCCAGGGAAAACCCAGGGAAAACCCAGGTACCCAGGCGGAACCCGACAGTGAAGCCTTGGGATGGCCAACTTCACCTCCAGAGCTTCACGTGCTGGCATTGCTTGGGGTTTCAAAGCTTCTCACAGGGCTCCTCAAGGGAAAATAGGAGCCTGTAAATCCTGCAAGCATCAGTACAACTTTTAGTTTGGAAGGGCAGACTCTCACTCCTGCTTTTCTAAACGTTTTAACCATTTCAGAATGTATTTCCACCCCTATCTTCCCTTGCTGAAGTCATGTTGTAAAGATTTTGCTTCTCCTCCTGAAAAAGGAGTTTACCCATTCTGAATTTCAAAAAAAAGACCCCCATGAAAGAGGAAGTTCAGCTTTTCTGAAAATACATAAATGTCTTTTTCTTTACCATCCTCTCTCTGCATTTATTCAGGATTTTCTTCCTCAGCTCTTGCTTCTTTTTGTGCCATCTTCCTCTAGCTGCCATAAGTGAGTCAAGCCATGGCGTTGGCTGCTTGCAGCTTGCCGAGTCCTTCAGGAAGACCATTTCTCAGATGGCAAATCCACCCTTTTGGTGGAAGGTTCAATACAAAATGCACATTGGAGTGCTGTTATTTTGCAGGGGGTAGAAAGGTTGATTCAGTGCCCCTGCCATTCTTGCATTAAATTGACTTACGTAGAGGAGGAGGCAGGTCCAGGACCTGGATGAGAACAATTCTCTGCTGCCAACCAGAGCAGATGTCTGCAGGGTTTACGCTTGGGTCCAGGGTTGGACTTGATGATCTTCAAGGTGTTTTCCAGCCTTAATGATTCACAAGTGGGTTGGGTTGGAAGGGACCTTCTTGACTCTGTGATTTCCATCCCCGGCTCTGAGGCTGGCAGGGCTTGGCTGTTGCAGACCATGTTATCAGTGGTCATGGTCCAGCCAGGGTCCATGGAGAGCGGTGCCGAGATGGGCTGGATGTGGGTTGTGTTTCAGGCACCCGGTCAGGGAGGCGCTCGGTCCCACATCTGGCAAGGAGGTGGAAAAGGCGTGAAATTGGTTCTGAAATGTTCAGCTTCAAGTGCCAATTGCAGCGGTAGCTGAGTAGAGCTGCCAAGTCTTCATTCTAGATGGCCTCCAGGGCAGAAACAACCTGACTTTGAACCTCTAAGCAAATGCCATCCGCATAAGTGAACATTCAGGGTAGAATTTCAAGAGCATCTCGATAAACGAGTTAAAAACTCTCGGTGCTTGAGTCAACCTGGAAATAAACCGTGAGGCTGGAGCTTCCAAGCCCTGGCTGGCGTGTTCTTCTTCCTTGGGCACAGCCATGCTGGGGCCTCCCCACCTCCTCCAAAAAGCGGGCTTGCTCCTTACTTTGTATTCCGTAGCACATAAGCAACCCAGAAGAAATGCAGCCCTGTCAACGCTTTCTTGGTGATATGGGCTTATTTCCCCCCCCCCCGCCCCCCGCCTCTCCTGCTGCATTATTCACGACCGTAAAATATTCGCTAGCCTCCCCTCTCCCCCCCAACACTGCAAAACAAACCCCCAAACAATAATTCAAGCCCCCTTCCTTCCCATGCCTTGCAAAAGGCGAGGAAATAAATTTCTTGCCGTCGGGTTGTTTTTATAGTGAACTTTCGTAGCGAGATTTAATCAGGGAGGCGAATTTCACACTGCCTTGAAACGGACCCATAAACTTAGCTCAGCATCAAATTCCTCCTTCCCCGGCCTGCTCTGCCGTGTCCCCGGCTTCACGGGGCTCCGAGGAGGAACGCTTCACCCGCAGCCAAACCACATTTACAGGGTTGTTTTTTTTTTCCACAAGGAAGGCCAAAGCTGTGCAGATCGTGCTTATGTTGTACGAGCTCCACGTTGCCATCCAGTAGGGCCAAATCCTGCCTGAGTCATCCTGCCAAGTCAGGGCATTGGTACTGGGGGTAGAAGTTCCAAGCCAGGGCATTGGTACTGGGGGTAGAAGTGCAAGGTCCTACAGCTGGGTAGGGGCAAACCCAAGCTCAAACCTGGGCTGGGGGGAGAATGGCTCCGAGCAGTCCTGAGGAGAAGGACTTGGGGTGTTGGTTGATGGAAAACTCAACAGGAGCCAGCAATGGGTGCTTGCAGCCCAGAAACCAACCCCATCCTGGGCTGCATCACAAAAAGTGTGGGCAGCAGGGCCAGGAGGGGATTCTCTGGTGAGACCTCACCTGGATACTACATCCAGTTCTGGGACCACCAGCACAAGAAGGCCATGGAGCTGTTGGAGAGAGCCAGAGGAGGCCATGGAGATGCTGAGGGGCTGGAGCAGCTCTGCTATGGGGACAGCTGAGAGACTTGGAGTTGTTCAGCCTGGAGAAGAGAAGGCTCTGGGGAGACCTTAGAGCACCTTCCAGTACCTGAAGGGGCTACAGGAAAGCTGGTGAGGAACTTTTTGTCATGGTCTGTAGTGATAGGACAAGGAGTGGTCATTTTAAACTGGAAGAGGGAAGATTTAGACTGGACATTAGGAAGAAATTCCTGGCTGTGAGGTGGTAAGGCCCTGGCCCAGGTTGCCCAGAGAAGCTGTGGGTGCCCCCTCCCTGGCAGTGCCCAAGCCTGGGCTGGGGGAGGTGTCCCTGCCCATGGGGGTTGGACTGGGGGAATTCTGAGGTCCCTTCTGCCCAAACCACGCTGTGGTTCTGTGATTCTAAGTGGTGCTGGACAGAGGGGTGCAGCGAGCGTCCACTTGGCCAAGGTGTGGGGTTTATTTGCTTTGAGTGCAGGCAAGTCCTTGGGCATTGCTGTGGGAAGGTGGGAACCCAAATCATAGAATCACAGCATGGTTTGGGTTGAAGTTGGGGGAATTGCTGCAGCAGCTCAGAGACCAGGGCAATGATTTGGG